GAAGAGTTACGAGTACACAGTGTGTGAGGACAAGAGCTCGTCTCAAGAGTCTGTGCTCTTAAAGCACCGTAAAACTCCAGCTGTCACAGCCATGTGGAGACTGAACCAACGGATGGAGTACCTGGCTTTGTTTTTCCCTTTCTATCACTTTGTCTTTCAAATACACAAATCTAAAACAAGCCCCACTATAACAGCTAAGCTATTACTCTTAAAAGAAAAAATAGGATATGACTAGTCATATTAAATATTTAAGTTATTATAAAACTGTCATAATAAAGTGGAGGATATTTTTGTGCAGAGATTAGTGGATATATCATTACTACCAGACTCTACTGAGCCGTACAAGCATGGGGTGCCTGTGTGTCCACATCATAGAATAGTCAGAAAGAACAAGTGTGCATGTCAAATACTTTGTATGTCTTAAATCTTAAAAACTAAAAGAAGTTGTCAATGGCAGTGGTAAAATAAAATAGAAAAGCAAGGAAACAGGATTCTGCTATAGTCAAAATAAAAACTGAAAATGATGTCATGAAACATAAATTATTAAATGATTTTGATATAGCTGGGTAAATTATATGGAAAACAGAAATTTTAATCTATCTTTTTTTAGATTGAATGCCTATTAATGAAAGTAATACCAAATATAGATTAACTGTTCTAAGTCCATTATACCAACAGAAATGTTTATTATTAGTTAAATATATGTGGCTAAAGCTATTATAAGCATGCTAATAAGGCAAAAACCATAAATTAAAATCGAGACATATTACTGTATAATATCTTAACATTCCATTGACAAAGCCAGGGGCCACACTGACTAATTGATTAATGTTGTTGGGCCTTTTGAAAAGTTTAATTTGTGAGAGTCTTCAGGAATGGGGTTGTGTCCCTTTCTAAATGAGCCAGAGGAGTACATGTGTTCATCTTCCACCATATGAGAAAGTCAAAGCCAAAGAGCCTCAATATGAGGTCAGGGCCATCTGCAGGCCTTGCTCTTGGTGGTCCACCTCCCAGAACTGTGAGCAATACATTTCTACCACTTAGAAATTATCATTCATGAAAAATTTCCAGCAGCCTCTTGGCTGCTGGTGGGCTTCAGGACGGGACGTCTTGCTCGGATCCCATACGCCAGCCACCACGTGCACGTGATGAGTTGGCCCCTGGCCTGCCTCGGAGCTCTGGGGTTTTAGTTCTTTGAATCGCTGCTTAGGTAGCTCCAGGTTGAACCCACAGTGCTTTTGGGATGTGACTCAATCCTAAAGATTCCCAATGATAGTAACTCTTCCTCTGAAGAACTTGTAATCACTGAACAATGCTGAGCACTGAACACCAGTTCGTGCAAAAGCTATGGCTCGGGGTTTGTCTAGCAGGATGTCCTATTACCTGACATGAGGATGGATCAGCAGAGGGATCACATTAGGCAGGGCCATGACATTAACTAGCATTTGAGAAGCATATCTGGGGGTAGATTGTGTGGGGTGTGTGTGGGCTAAACCGTGTGGAAATTCTAGCCCCACTGGTTAGCTCAAGAGTTAGAGTGGTGATGGACTAAGCTAGGTGTGATCAAGGAGCCTGCCATCAGTCACAGGTAAAGGAACCCGCAACCAACAGTCTGGACTGGTCTAGGCAGCAGCACCCAAATGTGCATCCTGAAAAGGGTGTGGGGTGGGCCATGCTGCAATGTTCACCAGCTCATATAAGGCCAAATGGAAGGCCAGACTGTGCCAAGATCTAGCCTAAAACCCAAGGACATGTATGGAAACTGGGTCTGGGAGTGAATCAAGTGGAGGAATTTGGGAAACTCCCTTGATAAATCATAGCTCCCGCTGGTGAACATGTGGTCCAGACATGGGGGTCGGACAAGTTGGGAAAAGTAGCTTCAACAGCTGGCTAATGTGTCTATTGGTAATGGAATGGGATGTACCGGGCAGGACTGAGCAAACCTTATCCTATGAGCGAAATTAGAAACCAGGTTGGAGCACAGGTCATGCTGAGCTAGGTTCTTGCACCTACTGGTCTGCATCAGTCAGGGATGCTAAGCCACAGTGTCTAAGGCAGAGGTCGGGACAGGTGAGGGGCTGAGCCAAGTTGAGTCAGAGCAACCACTGCCATGCATGTGCGTGATCTATGGCTGGGAACAGGCCCGGTTGGGGAGCTAAGGGGACAACAATAGCTGGGTTGAGTTTCCCACCAAGGGGAGTGTGACCTGAAACGAGGGCTGCGTTTTGAACGGGAAACGGTTGTAGTCTCCCTTGGCACAAGTGTGGACTGGGATTGGATGCACCAAGCTGGGCCAGATTCCAACACCATCTGGTGCTCTGGAGGACCAGGATAGATGTGGGATGGACTATGCTAGGTCTCAACCCTTACTGAGACATGTTTGAGCCATATGTGGGCATATGTGGACGAACCGTGGCTGGGCTGAAACATCCAACAGCAAGGACCAGATTGGGTCGAAGGCCAGTTAGGAAAAGCCACTGTTCCTGCTAGGACAGGAGGTGGACTGAGTAGGGCTGGCTCATGGATCCACTGGTATACACAAAATCTGGCCTTGGGAGAGGTTCTGATGGAGGAGCCTGGGCAGCAACTCCTCTGGCAGGACACAGACCCGGCAGGTCAGCACAAGAAGCATGATAGGAAACAGCCCAGAGCAGGCCATGGAAAGTATCCCACTGGCATATATTCCACATCAGTTGGGGGCAGACCAGGCTGAATCTGTCCACGTCATCCACTGGCAAGTCCAAGAACAAAATTAGAGTGGGTGAGAGTTGTTTCGGCTTAGCCACAGCATCAGCTGGCAGAAGCTGGCACTGGCGGCTAATTCTGTCAAGTTAAACCACAGAACCACCTGGAGAGTGCTTAATATGGGAATAAGAGAGACCTTGGAGGGAAATACTGGACTCTTCCCTCTTGGGTTACCATTCCCATAGGAGGGCATGAAAACTAGGACAGGGGCTAGGGTGGCGAGACAGAGGGGCACCCAACAACATCCGTGAAGGCTGGATTGTTGAGCTGGTTAGATGGAACTAAGCTTCAGTACTCGTCGACATGTATGAGAGCCAAATGGGATGTGGGACAGACTGGACTAGTCTGCTCTACAAACCGGCAAGCACAGGAACCAGGACAGACAACAGGCCTCATGGGGGCTTTTGGGAGTTGCCCCCACTATGCTGCAGCTCCCACTGGTTTGTGTGAGGTGGACAGAATCAGGCTGGACTGCAAAACCCTTTGGTTTGTGTGTAAGATAGGGCTGGAAGCAGAACTGACCCAGCAATTGCAAGTACCAACATATTGATTGGGGCGACAGGCTGTGCTAGACCCTATACTCTTATGCACACACAAGAGGACTTTAGCCACTAGGCTACCACGCCATCCCTATGTCTGAAAGAAAGATGGCCTCCTGGTGAAATTGTTAAATATGTTTTGATACTACAGTGCTGACCTATCAACTGTTGTCTCTACCTACAATGTCTGAATACACTTAATTAGAAGAATGATGGACTTGTTAGTGTTGTTGAGGGACTGAACTATTGTTACAATAGAGGGGAGAGATAGAGGAGAGTGCAAAGGGAAATCTCTGAGCCAATGGAATCAAATCATGAAAAATAAAGAAATTTTTAAAATCCTATCGCACTAAGACAGCTAAGGGGATCATGCTGTGGATCAGTGGCTGATGAAAGCAGTTATTACCGATTGTGACGAAGCTCCTGGCTAAAATTGACTCTTGTGGCCTTGGATGCTGTGTCAGTGATTTCAAGGGAGATGTTTAGAGAAAGGGGAAAACAAGGGGATGTGCAAGTGAGGAGACATAGCCTGTGCACTGCTGAAATAGCTGGGTTTTTGTTTTGTTTTTGTTTTTTAAATTTTGTTTTTGGTTTTTAAAGTTTCGTTCCCACATTTAAGAAACAGTTTGTCATGTCTTTTTCTGTGGCTGGCTGTTTCTTGCAATGTGATATTCTCCAGTTCCAAACATTATGCTGCAAATATTATGATTTCATTTTTTTGTATAACTGAATAATATTCTAGTATGTATATATGACACATTTTTTGTCTTTTCATTAGTTAATGGAATGCTTTTCTTACACACAAATTGATTAGCAAGAATCACAAAAGCAGAATGAAGATCTTAACTTACATTCCACAATGACCTTACATAAACTATACCATTATACCCAGACAGTGCTTTTTATCATGTTTTGAATACTTTACTTTCACTTTTCATTTCAGGTATTTTGTTTCTGCATTCCCAAGCTTATGCAACTACATCTCCACTTTTAACATTGTAACTATCCACTAAAAATTAATTCATTTGTTACCTCATCTGTAACTGGGGCTGAACCTGTTGTCTGTGCTCTAGACTCCTATAATAATGTATGCCACTTTCATATTTTTATGTATTTTACAGTTATCTCAAAAGGTTTTAACTTCCTAAATTTCAAATTCCTTTAGTATAGGGACAACGTTTTGGTCAGTTATTTTATTTACATATTAATATTATGTGCATTTCATTTAGTAAGCATGAAATAAATATTTGTCCAATGGATATTATATTACATATATGTACTTAGATATAAGGTGGTATTTTAAGAGAAAATGTTTGTGTTTTCCATGGGCCAATTCTAAAGGCTGGTCTTTTCTTAAGCATTTATTTCTTTCCTTTGAGAGACAAAATTAGTGACAGAGACATCTTCCAACCTCTAGTTCACTCCCCAAATGGCCATAATATCTAGAACTGGACCAATCCAAAGCTAGGGCCAGGAGCTTCTCCTCTCCCATTTGGTTGCAGGGGCCCAGCACTTGGCCATTCTCTGTTGCTTTCCCAGTTGGATTAGCAGGGAGCTAGATCAGAGGTAGAGCAGGTAGAACACAAACCTGTACCCATATGGGATGCCAGCACTACAGTTAGTGGTATTACTGGCTATGCTACTGCACCAGTCCCAAAGCTTTTCTTTAAAGGTTATTTTGTTCACCTCTTCCATTATCAATGTTTTGTTTTATAGATATGGCATGAATTGTCTTATTCAATTTGAAGATTTTGCCAATATGAATGCATTTCGTCTCCTGAACAAGTATCGAAACCAGTATTGCACATTCAATGATGACATTCAAGGTAAAAAAAAAATTACTGTTTATGGATCAAGAACATGTCTGAAATTATTTAATTAAAATGCAGAAACTTCAAGCTAACTACCTATTAGATGCCAGATATTATGGTTTATGATTTCATCTATTTTTTCTGACACAAGTCTATCATATTACTTGTAAACTATAGAATGAGCTTCTAGAAATAAAACAAAATCCCTAGTGATTATTGTTAAACAAGTAATGAAATATCTGAAAAATATTTATCATTGTTTAACAATCACACGCATATACTTTTTAATTTTCTAGGTAATAGGCTGTTTTTAAGTTTCCCTGAGTAAGAGCTGTGTGTAGGAAAAACATGCCACATTTTACTGCTTGTCTTCAATTATCTATGCTTAGGATTCTGCTTTTGTCTGAGCCATTTTTTTTTTAATAAAAGTCCTTCCTATATTAAAATCTTTTTATGATTATTGTTTTCCATGATACAGTTTTATAGGCATAAGGGTTCCTCCTGTCCTCTTGCTTTCCTCCCTTCCTCTTCTCCCCTCTCCTGTGTTATGACAGTAGTATAGTCCCTTAGTACAAGTTGAAGTTTAACTTTCTGATGTTTAAATATATTGTGACACTGTAAACATAGGCCAAGCGCTGTCCTTCCTTTTTAGCCTTTGAGATTCACACCCATTCAACCTCCCCCTTTAGCCCAGCTTATACCCCCTGTGAGAACTCTGAAAGTATCTTGGATCCTGTTTCACTCCCTGCAAATAGCAATAAAAACAGTGGCAGAGATCCTAAGGAGGAAGACCTAGCAACCTGAAACTTGATCACCAGTAGCCTTCACTTCACTTCCTGTGTTCTCTTACCTGAAGTCTCAGTGTCACTTAACTTCGTTGACTCGCCCTATTTCGTAAAATAGTCCCTTCTACTAGCATGCATGTCACAGGAGCCTGCTCATTGTTTTGTATGTCTTTGGCATTATAGGAGTGGAGGAACAGGCTCATCATTTTCTGTTTGGTAACAGGACAATTCAGTGCTCCACTGTAGACCATTCTCTTTTTTATAAATATTTGAGGATCTGTGTTTCAACCCCACACATTTAATTAGCAGATTTCTATCTCCAACCCAGGTCTAATTCCACATCTAAACACTCATATATTATTTAAAATTTTCTTTTGGATATCTCATAATTATCTCATATTAAACATACCCCAAATAAATTTGTATTTCCTGCCTAGATTTCACTTTCTTGTAATGTTCTCTTCAATGAGTTTCTGATAGTTCCCTCTTATTTTCTTTTTACATTTTATTTTTTCATTTTTAGTTGGGAGCCAGAAAGGAGAAGATGGGAGAAAGGCAGAAAGACAGTGCACATATAGTCAGCTGACTCACTCCCCCACATGACTGGGACAGCCAGGGATGGGTCAGGCAGAAGGCAGCAGCTGGGACATTAGTCCATAGGTCCCAGGGAGGGGCAGAGACCCAAATACTTGAAGATCATCTGTCGCCTTCCAAAGTGCAAATTAGCAGGAAACTGGAACTGGGAGGCAACAAAATTCAGGCGTAAACACTCCAGAATGAAATGCAGTATCCTGCTAAGTCGAATGTTCACCCCAGTAGCTTTGCCCACCAAATACATCTAAAAATTTTTTGTCTTGCAATAATTTTCCTCCATCATTACCATAATTACTGTTATCTTTCCTAAAAACTTGTCTTTTGTAAGAAATCTGCTCATATTTACTCTTGATACAAATCTAAGCACTAAGGCTTCAGCAGGGAACAAGAACTATTTTCCTTTTCCTGTAGAAATCAATTCATCCCTTCTATAAAATAATGGATATATCTGCACTTAAGATGAAAATCTGAAAATGGTCACAAATGTGGTTTTGTACACTTACCTGTCTCCAGACTCATTCTAGCCTTTCTCATTCCTGAAATGAGCCAGCCTTCTTCCTATTAGAAGATCTGTTCAACTGTTTGCCTTTCTTCCTGGAATAGTCTTCCCTCCCCTCTTCAAATCTGACATTCTGCAGAAAATCCTTCTTATGTCTTGGCCAGTTCTACTTCATGAATTCTGATAGCGTTCTTTATATTTCCCCTGTGGTACTTAGCACAGAAGCAGTTTTCTATGATAAGTTTTTTTTAAAAAAATAGTATTTCTCTCCTCTACTAAATTTTAAGCAATCTAAGGCCAAGGAATATAGGTGTTTTTCTTATTACTGTATCTCTTGTGATTAACACAATGCTTAGCCCAGACAGTTGCTTAATGTTAGCAGAATAAATGAGTGAAATATGACAGAAGCAAGGGTTGGCAATTTACAACTTGTCAGCGAAATCTAGCACACTGCCGGCTTTTATGAGGTCTTTCCAAAACACAGCCATGCCCTTCTGTATATGTACTGCTTACAGCTGCTTTCATGGTACAACAGCAGGATTAAGTCTGGAGCAGACACCACATGTCTCATAACCCTACAGTATTTATTCGGTGGTCCTTTATGAAGGAGTTTGCCAAATGTTTGTCTAAAGGATCAACTCTAAAGGAGAGGAAGAGAGATGAACTAAGGAGTTATGTTAGCTAAGGTAGATTATATTGTGGAAAGATCGTTCACATTGTCTTCAGAAAGGAGAAAAAGATAGAATTGGAGCAAATCTGAAGGCTATTGCCATAGGTTCTCTAGGCAAATGAAGATGGTTCCTTCTAGCAAGTGCCAGGGAGATGGAGGGAAGTGGACTATTACTTTTTGATGGTGAGGAGGAGGCAAGAATGAAACATGGGTTTTGTCTAGGAGAAATGTAAGAAGGCAATGTAGTTAGAGAAAATGAAAAGCATAATTATATCTAGAGGTTAGAATTACAGATTCAGAAGACAGGCTGATTTGCTTTACCCCTCACTAGCTGTATATTTTGTTCAGTTTATTTAATCTCTGTATTTTCATTTTGTCGGCTATAGGAAAAAGTTGCAGATTTTATTACTTTTTGTTTGAAACAATAGGATCTAAAGTTTGAGGAGAATAAAAGAGAACTTATATGGAGATGTAGATAGTCAATTGAGTGTGAAACACAAAAGAATACAATCATTGGATATTGAGAATGCAATTGAAATTAAACATATTAATTAGGTTAATACAAACTGACCCAAGAGGCTTCTGATCAAGGGTTGATTTTTTGTTTCATTTGAAAAAAAAAGAAATTAATCATCTTACATGAATCATTATATCAGATAAAACACTTTAAATAGACAAGATGTACAGTGTTCTTTATATTAGATATTTTAGGCTATTTGTGCAAAGGAGGGAGAGTAGAATGGAAAGCTGAGGGTAAAGTGATGACCATGATACAAAAGGTAAAAAAAATGAAGATCCAAGGTTTAGAATTGTTTACATTATTTAAGCTTTGCTTTACTCTTTTTTTATATTTAATTTCCTTTTGAGTATTCACTTATAAGAAATGAATACTTGGAACAAAAAGGTGTACCTTGAAATTATTAGCCAGTTTAAATATGTGGCAAGCATAGCTTGAGGTTACTGTGTAGGCAGGGTGAATACAGACACTGAATTTACAGACCAGTGTCTTTAAATCTCTTTAAATCAATTCATTTCGTAGTGGTCTACAAATAGCTACCAGTAAACTGTTGAACAAAAGTATACCTTCCTTTCTTCAATACTGTGTGTCTCTTGATTGTGCGTGTCTCAGAGAAATGTCCATTTAAAGAGAAAGACCAGCATCGCGGTTCTCAACATTTAGCCTAGTGCCCTAGACATTGGTTAAGATCAGAGAAATTGGGTTAAATATCTATCCCTGTCTGGCCCACGTATTGGTTTCAATCCCCAGCTTGGGGGATGTGCATTTGAGTTGCTGCCTCCTGGCTTGAGTCTTTTCCAGCCCTGACCACTGCAGGCATTTGGGAGAATGAACCAACCGATGGAGTATCTCTGTGTTTCTGTCTCTGCATCTGAAACAGATCTTTGTATTTAAGGGATTAGTCTGTATAGGAATCAGTTCAGTTTAAGAAAAGAAATGCTAAATCCAAATCATCAAACAGAAAAAGTAATTAGGAATCAGGATCATAATTTCTGTTAACCAAAATTAGGAATTAAGAGACCAGGGACAGATGTTCTTCAGAATTAAAATCTAGAACACAGAAATCTGAGACAATATCTAAATCAAGGTCAATTACAGTGAGTTGTTAAAGACCTCTGGGGATTCACAGCGGAATAGTTCCTCCCATTAGGTCCCCGCTATGGAGACATTACATAGGTAGCTTTTTACCCCAATTACCTGGCCCAAAATGTGATCTGCACATAGTTAGTCTGCTCATTTTTACACAGGAAATTTAAGGTTATTATTGCCTTATACAACAAAAAAATATTTAAAAAATATTCTTAAAAGATGTATACTCTGTGCCTAGAGAAAACCTTTGGTAAGTTATTAAGGTTCTGACTAGAAATAACCAAGGCATTTGTACATTTCTTCCTACCAGAATTGTGTCCTTTTAAGATATATTTCCTCCATGTATTCTTTTTCTACCTTTTTAACCTCCTATTTTTACCATTATGCCCGCAGATGTAATACTTTCCCCACTGTGGGCACAGAAATTGCATTCCAGTGCCAATGAAAATAATTATGCAGCCATCTCAGCCGTACTATGTAAATAAATGTTTTTCCACTAGACCCTTATGGGAACATTTTTCCTTTTTTTGACATATGAATTGCTTAAAGATTTTATACTACCAAAAATATGCCTAAATTTTCTGTACTAGTGATCTAAATCTATGTTAAATATCAAATGTTTTGGATAGAAATTGATTTTAGATCTTTAAGACATTTTCTAGAGAACCTTCTTGTCAATTTCTTTGGATATTTTCTCTTACACTTCTAAGATCCCATGAAAAGCTTTGAACAGTCTCTCCTGATATTAGCTTTCTGCCGTATTATTTGAGCTGAATGGGAAAATATTGGAACCTCAATGTTAAGCATGTAAATTTTCATTTATTCCTGCTGTCTGTCCACTAGTTGTGCCTGATATCTTAC